AGCAGAATCACATCAGATACCTGTACAATTAGCAAAGGGGCCCCCCAAGGCTGTGTGCTGTCCCCATTTCTCTTTTTTCTATTTACCAATTACTGCATCGCTAACGATCCATCTGTTAAACTACTGAAGTTCGCAGATGACACAACAGTGATCAGTCTCATTCAAGACAATGATGAATCCGCATACAGACGGGAAGTTGAACCTTGTGGTGTGGCCGGAACAATCTGGAACTGAACACACTCAAAACAGTAGAAATGGTGGTAGATTTTAGGAGAAACCCTTCCATACTTCCACCTCTTACAATACTAGACAACACAGTATCAACAGTAGAGACCTTCAAATTTCTAGGTTCTACCATATCACAAGATCTAAAATGGACACCTAACATCAAAGACAAAGAACAACAAAGAACAACAAAGAATGTTCTTTCTGCGCCAACTCAGAAAGCTCAAACTGCCCAAGGAGCTGCTGATACAGTTCTACAGAGGAATTATTGAGTCTGTCATCTGCACCTCTATAACTGTCTGGTTTGGTTCTGCAACCCAACCAGACAGACACAGACTTCAGAGGATAATTAGAACTGCAGAAAAAACAATTGCTACCAACCTGCCTTCCATTGAGGACCTGTATACTGCACGAGTCAAAAAGATGGCTGTGAAAATATTTACAGACCAGTGGTGGGTTCCAACCGGCTTTACTACCAGTCTCTTTTTGCACGTGTGATCGTTGCGCGCATGCACTCTTTGCTCGCATGCGTGCCAAACTTGTGCTCCATGCAAGTGCATTAGGAATCTGCCCAGCTGAGGTGTGGCAATCTGCAATCCGCACGTATCAGCTGGACTAAAAAAGAAGAAATAAAAGGTAAGAATAATGCAGGGGTGGGCGGGAGGCCCCAGCTCCCGGACAAAGAGAACCGGTTCGGTGACATCATATTGTCACCGCTACCGGCTTGGCTGAACCGGGCCGAACTGGGAGGAACCCACCACTGTTACAGACCTCCTCACATCGTGGACCTAAACTGTTTCAACTTCTACGCTCAAAACAACGCTATAGAGCACTGCAGACCAGAACAACTAGACACCAGAACAGTTTTTTCCCGAACACCATCACTCTGCTAAACAAATAATTCCCTCAACACTGTTAAACTATTTACTAAGTCTGCACTACTATTAATCTTCTCATCGTTCCTATCACCCATCTACTTTCACTAATGACTGTATGACTGTAACTTTGTTGCTTGTATCCTTACAATTTATATTGACTGTTTCCTAATTTGATTTGATTGCTTATGTATACCCTATGACTATCATTAAGTGTTGTGCCTTATGATTCTTGATGAATGTATCTTTTCTTTTATGTACACTGAGAGCAACAGGACACCAAGTTGCACCAAGACAAATTCCTTGTGTGTCCAATCACACTTGGCCAATAAAAATTCTATTCTATTCTATTCTATTCTATTCTATTCTATTCTATTCTATTCTATTCTATTCTATTCTATTCTATTCTTTAGGAAGAAGATAGGAAGAAACCTGTATAGTCCCCTCAGGATGGTCATAACTTTCAAATTTTACAAATCAATGTCCACAAATGCCTCCAGGCTAAGCAATCAGCAAGTTACTGATTTATGACATAGCTTAAGCTGTGCAGAATGTGATACCATCCACGGCTTCAAAAAAATGTGAGATCCTAATTAAAGAGGAGTTGCTGTCATCACAAATAGGCTGGACTATATATAGGAAGTTGGTAGGCAACTTTCCATCACCAGTATTTTTTCCCCCTTACTTTGTTTGGCAGAATCCTAGAAAATAACTGCAAAAATCAAAGAATTTCCTGCACAAGAGCAAATTTGCACAAGCAAATCCAAGTGTTTTCAACCAAGTCTTTTTTACGTATTATTCAAAAAACAGAAACCAAGCAGTCTGGGATGCCCCATAGCTTTGAGCATTAGTACCACCATAGCTGTCATACCTGATTATAAATAGAATTAGATGCCAGCAAGATTCTGGATTCCTCATGATTTCCTGAAGATGTTACAACACTTCATCAATCTGTCATCACTGGATTTGCAAAGGTACCATGTGTATATCTTTATGTGAAATCAAGATTTCATTTATTTATTTACCTATTATTTTTATATTCATGTTCATTGTCATCATCACCAAGCTAAGAAACATTTCAGTGTGATTTAGGTTTGTAATGACTGTTTCTTTGATTATTGCATTTAAATTTCATCAAGGCAGTCTTTTTTGACAATGGGACTGAGAAAGTGACTGGGAAATACATGGCCAAGTTAGGACTTGAATGAGTACTGCAGCCCATCACAATAAATCATAATTTATGTGATGTGTTTATGTTAAATGTTATGTAAATTCAATTTTTGAATTATGCTTTATTATCCTTGAAAAAATTTGGTTTATACATTGTATGAATCAAACAGCACTTTCTTCTATATCATTCTCCTTTCTGATTTCTGACCTTTTTGTCCTCTTTTTGTTTTCCTTATGCATTTAAATTGTTTGCCATAGTGAAAGCAAACACTGTTTTTGTGATGCAGATAGCCATTAACACTGGTCTTGCTTATTTCTCAGTTAATCATTCTGGATGCTACTTTTTATGTCCATCAGTAACCAAGAAGCTCTCAGAACTACAGTAGAGATGTGGCAAACATTGGAAGACTCTTATACTGGAATTATTTTACAGCAATCAACCCACAAGTTTCCTGGACTGGTGATCTTATATAGAAATGTGGGCATATGTAGGATTATTCAGAAAAGCTAAGGAAGGAGTATGATTATACAGTTTCCTATTTCTCAGCAGCAAACTAGCTGCATCTAGGAAGTACTGTACAAAAGCAAAAAAGCAAGGTAAATATTTCTATGTTATATAATTGAATTATAATCCTTTTCACATGACTAATTCATTGAATACTGGTGTGGCAAAGGCAAAAATCAGCATGGATTTAAGGAAAACGTTTTTTGGCTGTTGGATATGTGTTTTGATTACTGTTCTTTATGTTGTGAGTTGCTGAGTGTCTATATGATTGTGGCAGAATATAAATATGATATATAAATTAGAACCTGAACTATAGCTAAGGTACAAGATTCCACAGTTAAGAAAAGAGTTATTATTTTAGCTATAAAATTTCTTCTCTGTATATTAAGGTGGCTCCAAATTAATCAAAACAAGTGCTAATTGAATAAGTAAAAAATCTATGTGGGGATTGGTTAGGTGGAGATCAGACATTTCTGATATCCTACTACACATGTATTTTCTGGGTACTTTGGAGAATCAATGATCTCAGTAATCTATGCATTATACCCTACTGTAAGCCTGACAAGGTAGACCAATTCAGCAAGAGTTTAGTTTATTGAGACAGATTATGTTTCTCAAACTCAGCAGTTTTAAGCTATTTAGGCTTTAACTCACAAAATTCCCTAGCACGCATTTTAATGTTGCTGAGGCTGAGAAACATTGCACTATGATAATGCAATATAATTTTGAAAGTTTCATTGTGCTTTTCTTGCCTTTTTTCTTATATCCCAGTGAATCAGGATGAGAGTGAAGTATTCACCTGAGTCTTCCTTGCTATCTCCTTTCCCAGGACTTGAAGATATGCTTCAACCCTTTTTGGTTTACATAATAGTTTTTAAACATTTGCTTCAAGGCTCCTTCTGGCTCTCAACACCTGTAGTATTCTGTGTTTTCTTGGTTAAACCAAGGATAACCAAGACACAGAAACTTAACCTAGTAAAACAGTGAACCTGAAACACCATTTCTGGAAAAAGGGTTGTGTTGCTTTTGCATAAAGTACTTTAAAATAAAGTACTATGGTGATAAATTATATACTAACCAAGAGAGATTATATATACTTGTATTAAGATATGTATATGCAGTATAATATAATCAGTTACATTAGCTAAAGTGACCTTTAGTTTAAATACACACAGTTCATCTGAATGACTAAGTTAATTGGTCTCATATGTTACAGCTGCTACACTCTATATCTGTGTCATTGATTGGAGATCAAATGAAACCTAAATATTAGCTTACCGGAAGTTTTAAAGAGATCATTTAGATCTTGAAAGTAAGCCTGACACACTTCATAGAGTAAATTGATTACAAACATGCATTTTGGCTTTATATACAGTTTAATCAGGAAAATCAAAACATACAAGGTAGTAATAACAAATCTCAACTATTGCATAATTATCTTAACTATTGCATATTTTCTACAATTTCAATGAGAGATTTTAAAACACATATATACATATATATATATACACACACAATCTATTAACAAACAATATTACATATGTACCTCAATCCATATTTACAGATGCCACTTTGATAGTAGATGTAACATCTTCCACTGGAAGAACCATCACTCAGTAATTAAAACATCAAAAATGTAGACTACAAAATTCATGCGCAAGAGTTGATAGCTTAATGATCATGTCAATATAACATTGCCTAGACTGCCCTAGACGGATAAGCCCAAATTCCATATATATCCTGGATTCATTTTGGCCAATAATATATTCTGTCTAGGATGTCTCTCCAAATCTTAATGGAGAAAATTCTTTCACAGTGCAACAGAATTTGAAAAGAAATAGGGCATGGATTAATTGCTTAAACCTCTGGGCTCCTGCTGCATTTGATAGAGCCTGGAAGGGACTAAAAAACTTAGGCAGGTAATAAAAGCACATATATAGTATCTATTGACTCTTCTCTATCATCATGGGCATGTATTCTAGACTGTTGCCCTCCAAATTCTGATATGAAACAAGCAGGATCTGATCTTTGATCACTTTGAACATGTTTCGAAAATTGTGCTTTGCCACTACAATATACAACTAATATCTTTTGAAGTAACTATTCTGGGCCCAAATATAAGAAACAAGTATGCTTATCCCGAGTGACGCAAACTGTCAAATAAAACAGTTGAAGAAAGAACTAACTTTCTTCCAATTTATCCTGTCAGTCATGGGAAGAAATAATGAAGATTTCCAAAGATATGTCTCATGTCCTGTAGAAATGTGTTCACGTTCAGATCTGGTTTCAAGATTGAGTTGAAGTAATTTCTCCTTTGAAGGATCTGAAGAGCAACAAATTTATAAAAAGCATATGTTATCTTGATGAGAAATAAAATACATGGTTTGCTTTTGTAAGGATCTCCCAAACTCTGACTATTCTTATCTTGAGCTAATTTGTGAAGTAAGAACTCAAAAGAACTAAAAACTCCTTGAGGATTTGCAAAGCATTGTTCCAACAGAAAAGTTTATAAAATGATTAATAGCATTTTGAGATATTCATATGCAAATTTCCTGGAATGTCTTTTATGTGAAGTGCCACTTTTTTCATGCAGACGAATTAAACAATCAGAGTGATAGTTGTAGATTTAACTGGGAAGCACAACATAATGCTGAAGAGTGGGTTGGGATGGTGGTTGTTAATATAAAAAGCATTAAATGCATTTTTTTCTTCAGAAGCTTGTTCCATTGTTTTCCATTGTATGGAATTAAATTTACATCATGCCTTTATTTTCTATAATTCAAAGCAGTTTGCACAATTCTTCCACTTCCTAATTTCCTTATAACAACAACCCTTTGAGGTAGATTAGGCTGAAGGAGATTGATTGGCTCAAAATCAATCTCTTTTTGGCTTTTGTGCCTAAGGGAGGACTAAAATTCCTAGTTTCTAATCTAGTACCTTAATCACTAGATCACGGTGCCTCTCCCTACTTTGTTGCTTGCTCCCTGCTTTGTATATGGACCTTTAAAAGTTCATGCTGTTTGATACCCAGATACCTGCAAGATTTTTCCTAACATACTAGGTAGTATTATTTCCCCTAATTTCAATATTTATTGTTTTACAACTATCTCTATTTAATTTTATTCATGGGATTAGGAATGAAGTTATTTCTCAGAGATTTTACTTCAGCATGTTAGCAAATTCTAAACCAGGGCTGTCAAACTCGCTGTCCACAAGCCGGATGTGTCACACGCTGACCACGCCCACACCTGATTTAGTGAAGGGGGAAAAAGTCACGTGACGATGCTGTAACGATGCAAGTTTGACATGCCTGTTCTAAACCAATAAAGCTATTTTCTTTTTATTTAAAAATATATAATATCACAATAGAATTAAAACTAAAATAATCTTAAAATTTATCAAATGTGTGGCAGATTCTGCATTTTTAGCTACCTACTTAAAACTCATTTGGAATGGAATCAATTTGGCTTTGATCTGAAGAAATCCCACAGGGTCCATGCTGTTAAAGACCTAGTCTTATGTTACCATTAATTTAGACTCCCTTGGCAGTGGGTCACAAGGCAATGCCTCTAATGAAAGCTGCCAATGATGGCAAGCTCAAATGGAAAGGAGAAATGTTTCAGATATGACATTAACAAATATGCATGACCTTGGAGAATTGACAATATAGCATATCCTCTATTTGAATTGGGCACATTTTCCAATCTCTGTTTCCATATTTTTTTTCTAATTTGGAGGCCAGATAAGGTGCAGAAGCTAGCAAAACTTGGCTGATTTTGAAAAAGCAAAGCAGAATAAAGTTCTTGGATGGGAGACCACTAGGAAATCTCATAATTATAGAATGTTCAAAAAAACTAGGAAAAGGTCAGTTCTGTACTGTTACCAGGTAAACTATATGAATCTACCCAAAGTCACAAATAATGAAATTTAATTTCTGCAAAACTATTATATTTTGGAAACAGGATGCACACAAATTTTTAGCTTAGCACTTATCTCTCTTCTTTGTTCCTTGTTTTTGCCTTTTCCTCTACCCTTTTTAGAAGCATTTAAGAAAAATGCATTAAAATTAGACTAGCCTGTGGACTGAATCTATTTTAAGTACTTAATTTAAAATCTAGAGATTAAACTTTTTTGAATAAAAACACAAAACGATTAATTCATCATGTGAACTTAAGGTACTCAGCCCCACCAATGACAAGGAGGTTTGAAGAGTAGGGGATACCCAAATCAGCATCTCAAAACCAGAATGGAGTAGGTAAAATGATGCTGTCTCTACTTCCTATTACTAAAGGTGACATAAATAGCTATAGTGCATTGAATAAACAACCATAAGAGCTGCAGCTGCATGAGAGTCATCTTAGGAGCACTGAGCCATCAAGGCAACAGTTGTTAAATCCTCAGAATGTACAATGGTATGTGAGAAAAACCTTGAGAGACAGGGTGAAAGAAATGATGCCTAGGGAATGCTTAGATAAGAAGAGGGCATAGCCCCCAGCCCCATAAAGGTTGAGGAACAAGGATGATGTCACTCTTCCCAGATAAACCAGACAGGAAACATCACCAGATGAGCTAACTCTATCTTGTTGTAAGGCTGCAATAACAGAATCTTGCAAGTCTGAAAGCATAAATCTCCTGCCTTCTCCTTAACAGCCTGAGAAGCTAGGAAGATTCCTTCTCAGTCTCTTTCTGTGCCCATTCTGCAGATGTGAGCTATGACTTCTCTTATTTAACCATTCCCTAGGTAACATTTTTTCATCCCTCTCTTAAGGTTTTTCTCACATACCATTATATAATGTAGTGAAAGTTGTGCAAATAGAAAAGTGTGTCCCACTGAATCCTCTGGTACGCAATACAACCAATGGCTACTGGGCTAGCAATGTAGAACAGAACCTTTAAGATGTCTGGCACAGAACTAGCACACTTTCAGAATAGCATGAGACACATTTAAACAAAAGTCTAATGTTCTTTTCAATAGAACGCTGAATCCATGAAGATAAAGAGAATATGGAAGATCTGATGTTTGCTATGGAAAGTGCCACTCAGATATGATGTGAGTAGATGCCCCAAAGAAGCCAACATGGCCATGAAGGAAGCTCAGAGACAGGATGGTAGCAGTGGGGTGTGGGCCTATATAGCATCCAAAAGTGACCCATCAGATCTGGGTACTTTTTAACCCAAATGCATGATCAACCATATCATCCATGACATGTGCCAGATTGCATTCCTAGCAAAACTTGTGCTGTGAAAAGAGGATAGCTGGGGATGAGATGATATCAAGGTCATGAGGAAAGGTCATCCTATATTTATTAGATTTATATCCTGCCTTTCCTCTAGGATTTAATAAATATAGCAATGATATGTCCCATTTCTGAACTATTAAATACTCAAACTGCTGAACTGCTATAAATACTTAAATAACACTTAATGTTATTTAAATGAAGTGTGCAGATAGAGGTTTTCATCTCTGCAGTCTTTTTCTGAGCCCATACTGTCTTTGGACATAAAAACTAGTACTTACAGCTAAAGGGTCTCTTTGAATGTCCAGGTCATCTGGAAGCAGCAGACTCTAAATGAGAAAGATGTCAGTAATTAATATTTTTTTTCCATGAGATAAACAGACAAAACTGGAGGAGAAATTAGAATTTTTGATCTCTCAGCGGCATGCAGATATTTCAGCTTCCCTCTTAATTATTTCCCTCCCTTTACTCCATATAGGTACTCAAACCAATTTTTCACTGACGTGAGAAATTTTAATTTAAGCACTAAGTAAAGGAACAAGGAACTATTAGGAAATTGTCAGTTCAGTCAGCTTAGCTTTCAGAGTAGTAGTTTAATTGCTTCTTACCACATCCTTGCTTGTGAACATTAGGCAGGCATTCCAGAGTCCCATAAATACAGCGACATAATTGGCATTCTTCTTGAGACCACTCACCATGTCCGAGGGAACCACAATTCCTAAGAAATCACAATGTTTTCGTAAATGGGAGCTTGCAATGAGTTCCAGAGGCTCTCAGAAAACCCCATAAAGTCACAAAAGGGAGCCTTTTCTCTTCAGAAGCAAAGGTGGGGAACTTTGAGTAAGCATCACTTTTGTTAAAACAACAGCTAGGCAGGCAGCCAACTAGCAAACCACTCCATCTACTTCTGTGACAATCCATCACCACTTATGATGGTGCCTACAAAAGGAAATACCCATAGGACTGACAGGAATTCAACAACATATAAACAGTCTCTAGAAGTCAGGCAGCATCCAAATGGAATAAAGTAAAATAAATAAAAAAGTGGGAGAGGGAAACTCAAAGTTAGCCTGGGTTTTTAATTCCAAAATATGACTAAGTTAAATACTACATTTGCTTCTGTTGGCAGCTGCTCTTCATAGTAAAAGTCTTTAGTGCTCAATTTTGAGAGGTATATTAGAATTGAATTAGCGGATTATTGGAAAATAAAGAGAATTTTAGTTCAAGGATAATGGAGGTATCAGGTCAGATAATGTTTGTTTTACATACAAATAGTCAAGGGTTAAACTGAAGAGATAATTGGAAATCTCCATTTGATTGTAGAGCTTACTGGATGAATTGGGCCAAATAAATTTCTGTCAGCATCATCTACCTTAAGGGTTGTTACTGTAGGAATTGTCTAAATCAGTGTCTCTCAACTTTGGCAGCTTTAAGATGAATGGATTTCAACTCCCAGAAGTCCCCAGCGAGTCTTGCTGGCTGGGGACTTCTGGGAGTTAAAATCCACTTATCTTAAAGATGTCAAGCCTCATCTAAAGGAAGTCTTTCCCATGAATGTTTCCTTGAACTCACAGGGAGAAAAAGTGGATAAAATACAATAAATAAATTCCCCAGGACAAATGATGCTGCACCTCTCCAGCTCTCCCTCCACCCAACTCATTTTTTCTGGAGCAGATTTGAAAAAGGAAGAAAGGAAGAAGAAGGGGACAGGATTATTTGTGATAGTTGGATGTGGAAAAGTCCACTAGCACAATACTCGATGGATCCCAGAGACAGAGAACTTTTACATACCTGATCCTTGTATCATATTCACAGTATCTCCCACTGAAATGTTTTGGGCATATACAAAACGTTCCCAGGAAACAAGTTCCTCCATTTTTGCAGCAGTGTTTGTTCAATTTGCCTGCTAGAAATAAATGGGGAGAAAATCATAAAAAATATATCAAAGTTCTGTGAAAAAATAGACCTTCTTAAAAACTACTGTCCTGCAAACAGGAAGCTGCTACATACTGTATGATAAAAAATCCACTAGTTTCTCTTCTGCTGTGCCCATTGTAGAGTTAAGTGCCCTTTTAGATTTTATTAGCCACTTTGGTCTAGTGGTTAAGACCCCAGACTTGAAACCAGGAGATTGTGAGTTCTAGTCCCACCTTAAACATGAAAGGCAGCTGGGTGACTCTGAGCCCAACTCAGGCCAACCCACATCACAGAGTTGTCATTGTGGGGAAATGGGAGGAATAAAGAGTAGCACTTATATTTGCTGCCTTATATTACTTCAAAAGTAATAAAGGTGGGATAAAAAAATTCTAATGCATAAACTAAAAATAAATAAGTTATTAAATAAAGACAGAACAGGTTTGGGGAACCAATAGTCTGTAGATTTGTCTTCAAATATAGAGAATGAGTTACTCTTTACATTGAGTGTTCTGTACAAAAAACTAGACTTTATGTGACATTGTACAGAACAGTTTCATTCTCTAGTAAAAGTAGAAGAAGAAATTCTAGCCACATGCATATTGTGACATGTGGTCCAATATGGATCAACTGAACAATTAAGAAACTTTATAAAATTTTGGACATGCTATACTGTAGATCAAATTTACCAAAATGCTTTGAGCATATTAATTCATGAAAAGAAATCTAAACTTATGAAACATTAGAATTCTATTTTTTTTAAAAAAAAGGGGGTGAGTAAAGATATCAGATGGTTTCAAATTTATTAGAAATCCCCAAAACCTTCAGTGACTTGTAATTAATCCACAGAATAAACACTTTTTTTTACTAGTAGTATACTATATAATAGCATCACAAGCAGTTGTTATATAAATTCAAGTTTATGTGATGTCCTGGCTGGTCATCAGTGATTTTTTGCATAGGGTTGTACTTATCAAAGTTCAGATCCAGAAACAGGAGCCATTCTGACTAGTTATTAACACTGTAGGAATGGCATGGCATGTTATAATGGCCATCAAGCATCCTGTGCTCATGGATTCTAGCAAAGTTGCTCATAAAAAGGAGTGAATTCATTACGTAGTTAAGGCATGCAGCTAATGGAGGAAAAGAGTATTCATTACTGTTCTAAAGATAACAAAATAATAAACGGAAGATGCCATGAATGTTTCAAAATGCTAGGAAATGTCATGTGTTTATCAATATATGGGGAACAAACTTCCCAATCTGACCACCTCCAGAAGCGCTGGATTACAAATACTATTATTCAGAGATGTATTGGTGGTCATTGGGTTTGATGAAGATGCTGAAAATTACAGTCCAAGAAATAAAAGAAGGCACAAGCTTGATAGAAGGCTGGTGTAAAAAGATTGTTTACAGGGAATGTATTTTTGAATCCTATTCATCTGTAAATTCATTTTTATCTCAAGAAAGTCATTATCTCAACAGCCATATTTCTCCCTTGCAAAATAGGTACAGTATAATTTTTCTTAGAGCTTTTGTGGAAGAATGCTGGAATACAAAATATTTTTTTTAATTCAGAAATTCTGTATAAATCATAGATAACAAATAGCCTTGCAGTTAATATTGATGTCAACATAAAAAGTTCCAATTTTTATATGGAAGTTAGAAAGCAATCAACTTTTTAGAAGTTTTTATAATAACTAAGGAACATTCTATGGAACAACATTTTTTCTTTAGGAAATTGAATTTATTAAGCACACATATTAGAGTTTGGCTTGACATTATCTAAACCCTGTGTATTTAATAGAGACAATATTATTTTGGAAGAAAAGATACTTGATTAGCATAATTGATTAATGACTTTGCTTGATTTCTATGAACCAGTAAATCTGATTTTTAAAATGTTTTTAGGAGTTCTTTAAAAAGATGTCAAGCAGCAACTAATCAGATATCTGAGTATCTGAATTTTCCTAGAGATTTCATACTGTGGCTTGGTTCACACATTGAATTCATTCATAACATAGTTCCAAACAGTCACAGTCCTGTACTTTATCATTTGCTTTTTTGATTTAGAACAATATGTGAATCTAGGCACATTGTTAGGCACAATAGTTAATATTAAGAGATGCTCTATCTAGTGGCTTTTATGCAGTTGGAAAAGGGTTGCATTAAACAATATTTAAAGGCACCTTCCAATTCTGATTGTAATATAATTAGTATAAAACTTTATTAGAATCAGACTGAACACAGTACCTTTAAATAACATTTAATGCAACCCTGCTCTAGCCGCATAAAACCCACTAGACAGAGCATCTCTTAATGCCAACTAGAATATACCCAGTATAGTTACATACCATTTTATGTAATTGTAAACACAATTTGGATTATAACATGACAGGGTACACTTTTTCAGTAGGATAACCTCCCAAACTGTGTTCTTAACACAAATTGTGCAGTTCAAGGCAAAATTTCCAGATAATTGGATAATGCTTATATCAATGGACAAACATTGGCTACTATAGTAACAGAAATGAGTATTTCTAGAAATCAAGTAAATCTAAGTTTGAATCCTCAATTACACAGTTCAGTACACACCACTGGGTCAGTCACTTATTAGGTGTTAATCTTGCATCAAACCATTACTTGTACCCAGCTGCTGTGGTATATAAATTATAGTTTATAGCTTAGTTTATTAGTATCATGGAATTAAATTCCATCTTTCTTTTAGGAATTCAGGTAACATATACAGCACTCTCTTTTTTCCATAACAGCACTGTAAATTGGTTGGCCTACATGAAAATACCTACTGGATTTACAGGACTTGAAGAGTGGACTTGAACCAAGGTCCTGGCTCAGATAACTTTATACTACCCTATGTGAACTATTAGGTCATAGTTCATGAACGCACTTAATTGTGATTTATAACTACATGAACTCAATCTACTTTACAGAGTGTTATTAATGTAAGAAGTGAGAACTCCCAGCCTTGAGCCCAAGAGCAAAAGTGCCTTTTTGCTCATCCCAATTTTTTCCCAAAGTTTTTCCTCCTGAGAAAATCCAGCTGGACATTTAGTAATGTTCAGTTGGGTTTTTTTTTAAGATCCCCCAACAGCTGAAATTCTCTGGGTGGCTTACAACCAAACATAAAAATCTACAGCACTTTGCAATAACTTACTATCTGTGATCCCGATGAAAGGTATAACGTTGGATGGATTGCTCCTCCTCTTTTCAGAATTAAGTTGATTGAGAACATTAAAGGTTTTCAGAGCATGATTCCTATCCCCCAAACTTGGGGCATCATAGTCACAGTCTTCGCTCTCACAAGCTTTTAAAAGAGAAGAAACACATAAAATTCAGTAATGCCCATACTACTGTCCTTCCAGGGCTACTATCCTCAGCCCTTGTGTTTTTATTAGATGATTTCTTACATCAAGAAAACATATGCATTTCATGCATTTCCTTAGCTTGTTTGGATGAATTTTATCAATGAAATGGGGATGGAAAAACTCCAAGAGAGGTAAAGATGGACAAAAATAATGAAGTTGCTGTTAAGAACTCCTTCTATTTAAGATTCAACATATGATAAATTTTAAATGGATAACATTGCATTTGTGCCCACTCCAATATATATAAAATAAGGACAAATTCAGGACTTCTATTTTTTCCAAAGTAGGTGTGATGGGAGTGGGGGGAAGACACTGGTTATCCTTTCCTCAATTTCCTGGGTCTCTAGCTATTGGGGACCAGTAGCTCATCCCTTAAGTGTTTTGTATTTCAGTCCTATTCAGGCTAAAAGCTCTGTATTAAAAAAGGAAGTAAGGCTAATAGGGCTCAACATTGCATTTTACATTTAGAATCAATTTACAGGGGGAACTTTTGATGGACTGAGACAATTAAAATTATATTGCATAAATTTACTTACCATATGCCATCTGGATTACATGTACTGTTATGGTCATCAAAAAAATGAAATGGAAGGATCTAAACAAGCAGAAACCATAAGAGTAATTTTAGGACATTTTTGTCATCGTTTTCAAACATCTTTCAGTCACAATATATACTAATAGAAAAATACATTAATAAAAATAAATAATAAAACCTATTAATATCTATAAAAAATAACATTCATGAGAGCCAGTCTGATATTATGGTTAAAGCACCAAGCTAGAACCTGAGAGGTCATGAATTCTAGACTTGCCTTAGGCACAAAGACAGCTGGATGGCAAGTCACTTCTGAAAAACCTTGCCAAGAAAACTGCATGGACCTACCCAACCGCTCTCAGAGAAAAAATAATAATAATATCCATATAGCAGTGTAAATTATATACAGATGGGAAAAATTGCAGAATGTCATAGAACAGCATCTTTTAATTAAAATTATATATTTTAATTTGCATTTCAGGTAATGGGTTATATTCATTTACCTTAAAGTCTGCATGTTCTTTTTAATAGTCTTCAGAGCAAACAGTTCTGCTGCAAAGTTTTCCTGTGGTCCAAAATACAAGCAACTCATATAGAGGAATGGGATTACAGTAATTTATAGAAAAAATAAACAATGGATACTTTCTAGTTCCCTCCTCCCTTTTTGTCACATGACTGACAATGTAATAATCTGCCTGGGGCTATGTCCTATGTGGTGAGGCAGGCCTGTAAATTCAAAAGCCTTAGCTGTGACATACATTTGATTTGGATTTATTTCCAGATAAATTAATAGAACTTATTCTGCACTTCTTGCTTTGCTACTAAGATTCTAGAAATATATTATATATTATTTGCATTTACCTGATATTCTTGATAAATGGAAATGAACTATAAAGAGGTGAGAAAATCCTTTAAAATGATTAGTCTCTCCTTGTTAGTATTTTAAAGGTGATTCAGCCTCTCTCTTTTATAGCATTTTAGCTGCTTAAGCCTTAATCCGTACCAGGAATTAAACATTTATTAAAATAAATACCAAATTATAGACCCTTCTGGATGAGTCCTTTTTCAAGTTATTTGTTTTTGCTATTTAAATTTTTCTCTGCATGGTAGAATATATCCAATCCAGGCAAAATTAGGAATCATTATCAGATCTCATGAAAAATGGTAATTAACCCTTTTAGTCAAGCAATTCACATTGAATTCATAGGATGAGTAGTAGAAGTATAAAGCTGAAACATAATCTAACCAGCTGTATTTTAGTCTACAGTAGTATTATTATTTAATACTACTTATTAAATACTATTTAATAGTATTTATTAATACTATTACTAATACTAAATAATAGTATTTATTATTTAAACTAGACTATATGGTGAGATGATTGATAAGTAATAAGTAAACCATAAGTAAGTGTATCATACAGAGCACATTTGTATGATCACTTTATATCAGATGTATTTCTGTGCCAAAATTCCAGCATCTCTCACATTGGGCCATGTTGGTTAATTGTCATTAAAAACTATTGTAATAATTGGAAGATTATTAATTTCCCATTATATGCTGTTGTATTGCAGATGCTGCTAAATGTGTAACTTTCAGCATCCTTCACTACTGCCCATGATTCCTAGAGATACTGTTATTGTTCAGCAGTATATAGGTTGCCTGATCTCAAAGTAGAAAATTTAAGAATCGGGCATTAATTATTATATACATTATTCAGTTTACATATGTCAGAATTGGTGCTTCACTGCTTCTGTGAATATCAATGGAATAAGCCCTATTGGATTCAGTGAATAAAATTATATAATATCATCCTATGAGATATGGAAAAACTGCTTAAGCTTACTTCCACGTGCTGGCTTAAATTTTTTTTAAAGCAATTGATGATTTTTCCATTGTGCCATAGAGAATAAAAGCCCTAATTATTTGGCCCTAATAAGTGGTCATCAACAACTTTGCAGATATAAAGCTAATGGGATATAGAATGTGAAATCTGAATGAATAATTAATGAGTGCTTTTAAGGAAGCAAAAGAGTTCTTTTATGCCTAGGTATTGTGTTAAATTAATTCCCCTGAACAGAAATGTCTTTAGTCCTATTCTTCAGAGAGTTTTTTTGTTTCCACTAGAAGCTGTTTGCTAAAGTTCATTAGGGCATTGTTGTGTGAGGGAAGATTAATTTCTTTAGACTAATTGTTTTATAATTGATTCTGAAACTACATTATTATTGATCATTTCATGTTGTTTGTTTCCATTTGTGTATCATTACTGCAAAGCATAATACCTAATGGGATTGCCTGCAATTAGGCTGTTGATGATGATGACTTGGGGAACAAAAAAAGGGAAAGAAATGGTTTCTCCTCTGAATTATATGAAATTTAAATTTAAATGGAACAATATTGAGAAAACCCATTCTTTGAGAAATGGGCAATAAGGATTAGTTGCTTGTTAAGACCTAATAGATCTAAATTGAAAAGAACTGCTGCCAGAGATGCTCCCCTTTGGCCTTGCTGAATGACCAGAATCAAGTTGCCATTTTGCTTTCCCAAAATGCAAGATGGAATCTCAGGTCTAAGCATATCAGGACCATTCATTTATATCTCTCTGCCACTGCACCAAATTCAAATTCGTATATCCTAATAAAGTTAATAAAGTTTCAAAATACTTATACTTTTAGAATATAGGGTGATCATAACTTTTTTCCCCTTACCTACCTTTTCTGTAAGAAGCATTGCCCGCTTAGCACATACATAACAGGTAGAAAGTGAACAGGTGTCATGTACACACATTGTTTAGAAAGTTTGTATTTGATGGGTATAACCCTTTATCATAAATGCTGCAAGATCAGAATGCATTTATTCAGGCAATGAATTACATTGGTGGAACAGACAAAAGAATGGTAATTAAAGGAGTTTATTGCTACAGGACACTGATTGGCAATATTGGGAAAAGCAGAACAAAATATTCTACATCTGTCAATAAGAGCCAAAATCAGTGGCGTCCTATGCTCCATTACAGACGGTGTAATGTTTGTGAGAATTGGAGTTCATATAAAAGATAAAGATAAATCTGAATTGTATCTAAGGTGACTACAAGAAGGCATCCCTGCAGTTTTCTTAGCAATAGTATAGAAATAGTTTGCCAATTGTGCCTTTTATGATTCCCACCCACGCTCCCATTTAGGGACTAATCAGATCTAATCCTGTTTAGATTTGTTAAGATCCACTCCTATTGCTTAGGTTCTTCCCCTGGCTCATTGCCTCTAGTCCAGGCTTTCCAACCTTGTCAACTTTAAGACTTGTGGACCTTCCAAAATTCCTCATCCAGCCATGCATGGGAGTTGAAGTTTTAAAGTTCCCAAGGTTGGACACCCCTGCTTTAGTCCTTTGCAGGACTGATAACCATATTTTTTTAATTCACCAAAAGAGTGAAAGGGAAGAATGGCTTTAGGCCAAATGTCAAGAATAAAAGATGGCAACCTGATGAAGTGAGGATTTACAGCACAGTGGAAGAGGTGCTATAGATTGTTTCCATTTCCATTTCCTATTTCTTTATGTTCAATTAGTTCATTTGTTTTCAATGATTTTCTGTATGCCATGCTTAGTTATGCATTTGTTTTTAACAATGTTATGTTTCCCTGAGAAGGATAGGATGCTGCTGTCTTAGATAAATGAGTAAATAAAATATATTGTAAAATAATAGTTGTAAAAATCTATTTAAATAGAAAACTCAACACTACAATTCAATTTATAGGGAGTATAAAATGACACTTTAATCTAAATATCACTGATAGGTTAAAATACTCTATTTTCAAATACCAACCCAGTAAAATTCCACAAAAAAGCTTATGGTCAATACCCCTCCTCCCAAATGAAGATAATTCTAAAGTTTATAAGGAATAGAATTAATAAATATTCCAGAGCATATTTGTTTTGTCTCTGCAGGAAGCTAATATTTGAAATAATTTGTCTACAAGATTGTGATGGCCTGGATATTTTCACTGCAGTGATACTCACAATTGCATTAAAACATAATAAATTCTGTCAAAAGTGTTTCTTTTGGTTGACAAAAGAAATTGTGTTTTTCTAATGCAATTATTTGAAATAACTACGTAAAAGCTGAAGCTGAAAAAGAATGCATTACATCGGTGAATATACGGTGTTATACAAAAACCAAAATTTCTGCTGCACAAATAATGTTAATATTATCTAGTTTCTAGTATAAGTAAAAATCAGTGAAAAGCAACTGAAATGCAATGATTCACATGTTGCACATGAAACTCTGGTTCAAGACTACTGTCAATCATACAAGATCATTGAGCTTTTGCAGAATGGGGATTATAAATCTGACAAATAAATAAAGCCATAAATAGATATGAACAAAAGAAAAACTTAAATTATATTAATGAGGTAATGACAGCATTTATTTCTTGCCTTTTAACTAACTTGTTCTATTCTCATTAATTTCATATTCTCTCTCTCTCTCTCAGTAGAAATTGACATATACATTTTATGAATACCTTCATATCTAATTATCTTACTAATATTGCCATTAAACTGAGGAATACAAGAGAACAATGACCTCTGAATTTTAGAGAACAAATTAAAATTCCATGTTTTTCAAATATTCAAGGCAAGAGAATGAATTCAACTTGACTAAAAGAAACCTAGGCTATAGATGCCTTATATACTGCATAGGTCACTTTAAGACTATGGTCTTATAAGAAGCACAGCTGCTTTAAAACTGGCAATACTGCATAGATAAAATGTTCAGAATGCCCCATTGTAGCCCTCAGTGCCTTCTGAGGAAGAGAGTGGGAGAATCTGCAACTTCTATGTTCTTTGCTTGTCAACAGTGGTGGCTCCCAAGTCTACTACACAACCAAAGAATTTCCTCATGGTCTCCCTTCCACATAATAATCTGAGCCTGTTTAACTTTTGAGTTCAACCAGACTCAGGTAGATGCTGCCATCTGGTGTGGCTTCTACAGTGTGCATGGAATGCAAATGCACAT